CAAGTTTCTTCCAGGCAAGTATCTCCTCTTTCGTCTTGTTCTTGGACTCTGCTTGCAGCATGACCTCGAAACGCCAGTCTTCACTCTTGCCTCAAAGGAAGAAACCTAAACTGCAGGAGACATCGGCCTCTCTGAACTTGCCAAAGGGAGGTATGTCCCTGCGCCACATTTTTCTGGGGATTTAAGGGATTCGCAAGGGTTAACTATATGTGACTTTTTTGCCCAATCTCTTAAGATGTGACTCCAAACTTCCCTGAAGGGTTTTAAGCGCTAGGTTAGTGGATTAGGTTTGTGTAAAGAAAGAACTAAAAAGTGTGAAATCCAAAGAGCACATGGGAGCACATCAAAGCCCCCAGTGCAACGACAACACGAGCTCATCTCCCCATCCCCAAACTCAATCCTCCTCTGGGGTTTCCTGTCATGGTAAGCGGCACCACTGGACAGCCTGAGGCTGGAGTGACACGTGATCCCAGCTTCTCTGTCACCCATCTCCACCCAGTCTAATCCCCAAGTCCTAGTGGTTCTACCGCCTCAATACCTCTCACATCCATTTACTTCTCCCTTCTGCCACTGTAGCCCACCCGGATTCCTGCCACCTCCCCCTCTTCCTGCTTCCAATTACCTCCTCCCATCCAGTCTGTGCAAAGCTCATCACGTAACTCACCAGCTTAACACCCTTCTCAACCCCCTCATTGCCCTCCAGGTAAAGACCAAGAGGCATCCAAGGCCTGGCCCTATCTGCCTCCTCCCCCCACTTCTCCAGCTTCACACTCTTGACTCCCCCTTAACCTTTCCTCACCACCCAGAGCTGCCTTCTCTCACCTTGGGGCCTGGACCCCCACTTTCCCTCTGCCTAGATCACTCTCCTCCCCTACCTGCCCACATCCTCCTCGTTCTCCAGCTGTCTGCTGAAAAGTCATTTTTTTTCATTCTCTTTTGAACCGCAGCTAGTTGGCGTTAGGAACCCCCTTCTGCCCTTGCGGTGGCTAGAATCGCCCCATCCCACCTTTATGCCATTACATTGAAATTGTCGATTTCATCTTACTCCGCTCCCACCCCCCACCCCACCCCCCATTAGATGTTAACTCAGCACTGTATTTCCAAGGCCCATAGCTTGCAGTTGGACATAAAGTTAGTCGTTTTGGTGATTAGGCCTCCCTGATAGAGTTGGAGGAACCCTGGTGGCACAGTGGTTAAGCACTTGGCTGCTAACCTAAATATCTGCAGTTTGAACCCTCTAGCTGCTCCGAGGGAGAAAGATGTGGCAGTCTGCTTCCGTAAAGATTTACAGCCTTGGAAACCTTACGGGGCAGTTCTACTCCGTCCTTTACAGTCGCTATGAGTCGGGTTTTGGTTTTAGATAGAGAGAGGATGTGTTGGGGCCTTCTGGAAAGTTGGGTTTGGACAGGAATGAGGCAGGAAAGCAGGCTGAAAGGCATGCCCTAGGACATGTGACAGCAGGCTGGCTTTGAGGGCAGAGGGGAGGGGCTTACAGCTGACATGGCCAAGGTCCAGCCATGCTTGTCGAAGGAGCACTGGGCGAGGAGTCCTTATCTCAGTGCTCCTGCGGACTTGCTGAGTGACCCTGGCAAGTTATTTAACTTGACTGGGTCTCAGCCTCCCCCACTTCCAAATGGGCATGCAAAGCATTCCTGCTCTGTGATGTCCACCCCAGAGTGGGGAAGCTGGAACGCTGAAGCTTGAAACCTGGCTCTGTCTGGCTGTGTGACTTTGTTGGGCAAGTGGCATAACCTGTAAAATGGGTCCAATAGTACCTATCTCTGACTTGCTGTGAGGCCTAAATGTAAGCAGAGCACTTAGACAGGGACTGCCACATAATCAGTGCTCTTGAGATAGGCAGTAAGTTCCATCCCACTTAAATCAGTACCAGCAACCATCAAGTTGTCTCTGATTCATGACGACCCCATCTGTGTCAGAATAAAACTGTGCCCCAGAGAGTTTTCAATGGCTGATATTTTGGAATTAGATTGCCAGGCGTTTTTTCTGAGGCACCTCTGGGTGGACTTGAACCTCTAACCTTTTGGTTAGCAACTGAGTGTGTTAACTGTTTTCATGACCCAGGGACTCCTTTTCCCTCTTATGAGCAGCAAAATATGGAGTCTCCCTGGCCTCCTTCCATTTAGCTCCCTGGGAGAATTAACTGGATAGAAGGGATTGGAAGGTACAGCCATAGTCCCTCCGAGGCATTTCATCTCAACCCAAATAACCACGTGGGCTACTCACTAAGCACTGATGATCTGCTAGCCTCTGTGCTAAGCACCTATCTCTCCAGCAGTCCTCACAACAGCACCATGCAGTGGTTATTCCTAGTTTACAGACCAGAAAAAGGGGGCTGAAAAAGGTGTGTGTGTGTGTGGAGGGGATTGTGTTCAAGGGCATCCTAGCTCTAGATTTCCTGGCCAGTGGTCAGTGCACTATGCACATTGTGGGGAATGACAGCATCTCACTGTTCCAGTTGTGTTCCAGCTGCATGATTCTCTTCCCTTCAAAGGAAGCTGGGAAGGGGAGGAGAGGGAGGAATTTTGATAGTGAGGTGAGAGAGGCCAAGGAGAGAATGCAAAGAAGGAGAGAACGCAAAGCTCATAGTTCTGAGGGAGAGGGAGAGACCACTGTACTTGGAGTGGGTGGATTATCTCCTTGGTGTGCCCACACCACTCCCTTGTTTACTGAAACTCTTGCCCTTTTGCTTTCTCTTTCTTTTCCACTTCCTAGCATGCTCCTTGCATTCATCTTGAGAAATGCTTGTGGGAAAGGTCCGAAAGAGGAGCAGGGCTGGTTCTAAGAGCCTAGGATGTTTGTGGGGGAGCCTTGAAGCCTCATCTGAAGGCATTACAAGGTTCCCCGGGGCCTCTGTAGATGCTTGGGAAACACAAGTAGATCGGGCACACAGGAGATGCTGTGGGTCATTGGTACCAACCTATGAGCAGGTTTTGTGGATAAAAGCACCAGACTTCAAGCAAAGGGCTTTTCAGACTGAGTTTCATCCCATTAGTGGGTCATGAAATCAATTTATTGGGGTACAACCAGCATTTAAAAAGTAGAATAGTATAGAAAATTACGCCATCACATTACTCTTAGTATTATTTTCTGTGTGGATGGATATCAGGTCATGATGTAAAATGTACCTCTTACATGTCATGTCAAAAAATTGAAAAACACTGTATTAAAGCAATGGCAATTTTCAGCTGATAGTCTGGTTTAGAATCTTGGTTCTGCCCCGTGCATTAAAGTTCAGTTTATCTATGAAATATTAATACTTTCCTAATATTTAAATGAGAAAATGCATGTAAAGCACTTACCACAGCCTGTAGTCCACGGTACATGTTTCAGTGGTGTGTCAGGGCCTGCTCATGAGAGCTGATTGCGATATTTTCTTTCCAACTTTGTGCTCACAGGGATGGTAAATTGAAATCGACCGTGGTGAGAGTATTTACACTATCAAAATCAGCAAATGTTACAAATCAGCTTGTTTTTGCCCTGGAGAGCTGGCTGTTAAACATTTACCAGTTTATCACTGGTGCTAATTATTCTTTCTTCCAAAAGCTGTCCAATTGAGATAGATAGGAATTAAGCTGGACTCAATCAGGAGGTATGGAGGGGAAGGATTAGATGAATTTCTGGGTTTGGGGGAAAGTCTAATGAAGACATTTGTATTTTCTACCCATGACTGTATTCTTGGCCCACTGATGGTATGTCATTTATTTAACATTTATTGATCACCCACCATGGACTGTCCGTCTTGAACATTAAAAGACACTGCCTGCACTCTAAGAGCTGACAGCAAAATATGAGTGCTGGAAAGGAGGGTGTCTAATTCAACTTCCAATTCTGGTTACAAACACCCAGGGAGAGATTTCAGGCTTTTTGTGGTCCATGTCTTGGGTCCCTGGAGGAGGGAATAGAGACAGCCTGGTGCATCAGTGTTACCTGGAAAACATTATTTAAACACAAATGCCTTGGTCCTACTTAGTGGTTCAAGGCTTGTCCTCTGAAGCCGACCTTATTCCTCTGTTTCAAGTAGTGAAATTAACATAATACTGCCTACCCCATAGAGCAGTTGTGGGGCTTGCAAGCTTTTAATGTGGCCAGGAGCTGCTTGGAACTAGCACTTAGCTTTCAATAGTTTTTTTGCAAACTTCAGGCACTAAGCTAGGTCAAAAGGACCCGCGGGTGGCACTTTCCTGTCTTCAGAGGGCTTCCACTTTACCACTGACACAATGTTCCCATTTGCTGGCCTGTTTTGAGTTTTATAATCGCATAGCCAAGACACAGCGACTTGCCCGAGTTCACATAGTCTGCTGGACAGGGTTTAGACTAAAACCCAAGAAACGATCCTGTGAGTGTGCTGGACAGCTTTCGGCTTTGCAAACAGGCCTTAATTTCAGTTGAAACAGTGGCTTCCCCATCTGGAAAATAGGGTGGAGGTGCCGCCTTCCTTCTCCCACAAAAGGGGAGGCCCCCCGCGGTGCTCCACTAGTGTCTCTGGGCAAGTGGATTTCCGTCTTCCATCAGGCCCGAATGTGAAGCACAGCTACTACGAGGCCTGTACTTTTAGGGGGCTGCGAACACCCCTCCCCGGGCACCCCGCGCCACCCCGCGGAGAAGGGAAGCCGCTCCGCCACCACGTGACACGCCCGCTGGGGGGCCCGCGCGCAGCCGGGCGAGGCCCCGCCCCTCCGGCCGCCGCGCGCCCGTCACTCGCAAATGTCCCGGGTCGGGCTGGATAAGGGGAAAGAGGGGGAGGGGAACACAGCGAGGGGGGCCGGCCCTGTACGTCGCAGCGTTCCTTCCTCCCGCGTCTTCGCCAAGCCCTCTGTCTCCTCGCCGCGTCTCCGCCCCCTCGGCCCTGTGCCCCAGCCAATGGCGAGGCGGCGCGAGACTCTCCGGCCGGGGGCGGGGCGTGCGCGCGGGGTCTGGCGCGCCTGCGCCCTGCCGCCCGCCCCTCGCCGTGAGGAGGAGGAGGTGGAGGAGGAGGCGGCTCGGAGAGAGCGAGCACCGAGCTAGACCGCGGAGCGTGAGTGAGGGAGCCTACCCGCCTGCCCGCCAGCCGCCGCCGCTGCCGCCGCCTCCCCTCCGTAAGCAGGAGCCCCGGCCGGGGCTCGGCGCGTTGCCCCAGCCCCTCCCTCGTCGTCAGGTCGCGAGGGCAGCGAGAACGAGCAAGGGGGAGGGAGAGCGAGCGCCGGGAGGAGGCGGCCGGACCAAGCGAGCGCCCGCGCGTGTGGCGTGAGGGGAAGCCGCCTGCCCGCCCCCTTCGCCTTCCCTTCTCTCCCCCTCCCCGCTCCCCCCCCGACCGCGGAGCAGCACCATGTCGGCGCCGGCGGCCAAAGTCAGTAAAAAGGAGCTCAACTCCAACCACGACGGGGCCGACGAGACCTCAGGTGAGGAGGAGGCGAGGTCGGGGGCCGGCCCGCGCCGCCATCTTCGCCGCTTGCTCCGGCCCGCAGGCCGCCG